ACACTGTTTTGGCTGCTCCAAAAGGTGCTCCAAAACGGCTTACGCCAATCACATCACTGAGCTCGTTATAACAGACCTTGATTTTGACCAAGATTTCAGTCTGTTGTAAAAGGAGTATATATATTGCCGCGCGCAGGGCTGAGAAAGCAACGCTCGATCACGAACCTCTAGAAAGTTCTTGTTTATTCTTGTTACAGACGAAACTTCTATCGTTTATCCCTGCTTTAGTTTTTCTTGAAAGTGCGTGTTCATTCTCGCCCCGAGCGCGCTACGCTCGAACCTTCTCCGCCGAATCTTCGAGATAGTGACTCACCTTAGATAAGAGGCCGCCTGCGGCCTTGTCGAGTCAGTCTCGCCCCAGCGCTCGATCCTGCGGTTTCGCCGACTTTGACGTCGGCGATGCTCTGTTATTATTAGTAAAACATATAAAATAGCGCAACAGAGACAAGGACAAGAAGTAAACAGGACAGGCGCTAACTTTCAACTAGTTTTATTCTGGAAAATCGAACACATATATACACACGACAGGCAAAGCAGCACCACGTAAAAGTTGATTAATTTTTCACCCGATCATTCAAAAACTGAAATTCATTACAATGAAGAACAATAGAAGTGTCGCTGACACATGCCGTCCCACTTTTTTTGATAAAGAAAGCTTCCAATAGCTCTCGAGCGACCGTCTCTCGGCTTCTTCCTAGTATCCGCATCTGCTGAAGTCGCGGAACACAGCCACACGTGTTGCAATGTATAGGCAAATGCGAGCCATATTTATTTTTTACTGATAATGCGTGCTCCCGTGCTCGGTCATTGATGCACCGCCCCGTCTGGCCAATGTATACCTTTCCACAACTCGGGGGGATTTCGTAGACCACACCCACTGTGCAGTCCACGTAAGGGGTGACGTGTTTTTTGTCACACGGTGCTTTTGCCTCCTCATCAGAGATGCGGGCACACAACCCAGCCAACTTCTTTGGGGCAGAGAATACTAGTTTTGTGCGAATAGTGGATTTTGAGTTCGAAGCGAATTCGAAGCGAATATTGGTTTTGGCCGAATATTTTCGATTCGAATATCGAATAGTTTTTCCACACCTTTCACTACCATTGCATTATGCTTAGACGAAAACCCAGCTAAACTTGTGAAGGTTGTTTCACTTGTTCATTTATAAGCTAAGTTTAATCTATCTATATTTATGAACTGTGGCCCCAGAAAGTCTGGTGTCTTCGGATGGCAAGTAAACGACAGATTTGACATAAAATGAATCCTGTAGAGATGGACAACTATACCCAATGGTGTTAATTTACAAATCTTGCTATATAAAATATTTTTTCTTTAATCTCGAGTTAAAAAAGAATGAATCGTGCATGATGAACGCAGGTTGTAAGGGAATCTCTGCCTAACATAGTATACTCTTGCATAACAGTTTAATTTTAAACCTTTTGCTGCAATGTAGATATACACATTCACAAAGTTTTAATTTATTTTCACATACAGTCGGCAGAGGTGCACCATCCCGCTTTGAATGTATGCTTTACTTCAAAGCACGCAATTACGATATTCATACTTTTCCAAGTGTTTATCGCGTCGTGTTACCCCGTTGAGTGCGCTTCTTACCAAGCACCAGTGCGCTGCAGAGAAGCAATACCCGCAACGCTCGCTTCCGCGTGTATTGCTTCTCCGCAGCGCACCGATGTTGGGAACAAGCGCGCTCAACGGGTCCAACCCGCCGCAATCAACACTTCGAAAAACGCGAATAGTGAAGTTCTTCTCGAAGCGAATATCGAATAGGGTATTATTCGAAAGTACTATTCGAAATTTGGAATATTCGCACAACCCTAGAGAATACAACTGGAACATCGTACTTGGCTGCAACTTTCTTCAGATTGTGGGCAACCTTCTGTATGTACGGAATGACCTCTGGTCTTTTTGTTCTCTGCCTTGTTGGGACCTTTCTTTTCAACCCCTTCATTTTTTGTAAGGCGGTCTCCGCCACAGAAACCAAGACCGAACACGGGAAGCAAGCTAATTCCAGTCTAGAAATTTGATATTTAAAACTAGCATCCGCCTGATGGTCACAAGGCTTCAGCAGTGCAGACTCCAGGCACGAAGTTGCAATAGCTCTCTTAACAGTCTTTGAATGCGCTGAATCAAAAGGAAGTAACTCTTTCGTATACATTGGCCAGACGGGGCGGTGCATCAATGACCGAGCACGGGAGCACGCATTATCAGTAAAAAATAAATATGGCTCGCATTTGCCTATACATTGCAACACGTGTGGCTGTGTTCCGCGACTTCAGCAGATGCGGATACTAGGAAGAAGCCGAGAGACGGTCGCTCGAGAGCTATTGGAAGCTTTCTTTATCAAAAAAAGTGGGACGGCATGTGTCAGCGACACTTCTATTGTTCTTCATTGTAATGAATTTCAGTTTTTGAATGATCGGGTGAAAAATTAATCAACTTTTACGTGGTGCTGCTTTGCCTGTCGTGTGTATATATGTGTTCGATTTTCCAGAATAAAACTAGTTGAAATTTAGCCCCTGTCCTGTTTACTTCTCGTCCTTGTTTCTGTTGCGCTATTTTATATGTTTTACTAAGATGAACCAACTAGCCCAACAACATACCTTACTAAACTCTGTTATTATCTTTTGTACTCTTTTGTTTTTGGCACAAGTTCGCCACATTAAACGTTTATTTCTTCCTGTTTATCTATTGTTTTTTGGTCACCACCCGTGACAATATGTTGTATGCAAATATGAAGTTGAGTCAATGGTACATAGAAGAAAATCAACCCAACTTCACAAATCTGTATGTCATATCCAAATGTCTGTTGTAACCGGGTCTGTTGTAACGGGCTTAGACTGTAATGAAGTCGAAACGCAACCCGCAACTCAGCACTTCCTATGAGCAATAAAAAAAAATCAGCACCATCAGCACTACCTATGAACAATAAAATCAGTATCATCAGCACCACCAGAGCTTCGCCCCAATCAACATCATTCACCACGTGGAGATGCGGCCTCTTTTGTTCATGGCACGATGCATTATAAAAACCTGTATAGGTAGTTGCCTCCTTACTTACAGGTCTTTTGCTCGGTGACGACAACTCTTAAGTTTTATCTCCCATTACATTTTTGTGTTTACAAAGTAGATGTCTACGTGGTGAGGGCATGTAGCCTTAGGTCAACTGTGGGCATCACCTTTGCACCAGAAAAGTACCTCGAAGTAAAAGGAATTGGGCGGGCAAGCGTGTAGCCATTTATGGTGGAAAACCTGACACTGCGGGAAAGAAATATGTTTTTAAAATATTAGCTAGTAAGCTTTGGAATCTAATCCTTTTTGAGCTTGAAAACCAGGCAAAATGTAGTCTCCTTTCCAAACAGGGAATGACGCTGAGCGAAGATAACAAAACAGAGGGTCTCTTCTGTTATCCCTCAGACGACTCAAAGGCATCCATGCATTCAAGACAGACACATGATTTACTTAATTCACCTTGATTCCTCTTAATTCGCTTTGTCATCCTTCTTAATTTCATTGCCTCTAATTCATCGGAGTGGTCACATAAACGTGATAGCGAACCTCCGAAGACAGTGCGCTCTCTGAAGAAGCACTTTTGGTGCCGTTTTCATTGGTACCTTTCATTTTGGTACCCTGCGTGTCGCCAATGTGTTTTCTGAAGGTCGACTGAATGATGAGGTATATAAGTCTTTCGCCTTACTATAGACCAGATGATCAGGAACTCAAAATGATATAGGAGGCAATTAGAAACCAGACAAATGTTACACTTTGCTGCCAGGAGGGTATGAAAATGTTGCGCATGATCATTGCTACGCAATTTGAAGGGGCACTGACACCCTAAAGGTCGTATTTTTTTTTATTGTCTAAAACGATGCCAGTTGCAGTCATAGACACGCAAAAAAAAAAACGCATTGCGAAAAAAAGTTTTTTTGCGCGCGCGCGCGCCTTTTTATTTTTGGCGTTTGATTCTCCTGCCTTCGCCTCCTCGCTTCTATTGATTCGTGACGTCAAGAATCATGAAATTTAGAAGCTTTGTAGGCGGCATCTCTATAACATTTAATAACGGCAATCCTAAAACATGTTTTTTAACGCAATTGCGAACACACTACGGCCCTTCTTTTTGAAATACCAAAAATCGAAAGTTTGTTGTGGTGCCGTCTCCTGGATTTGTATCCTCCCACAGAAAACAGGCGACACCGCTCAAAACCGGGCCGCCAGGCGCTCGCTCCTTTCCTCCTCGCTTTGGGTCGCCATGGCAACAGCAGGGAGTCGTGAAAGAAAGTGGACTCTCAGGACTCCGCAATATTTGACGTCAACGCACCGGCGCGGATAGCGCGGGAACTTCAAATTCGGCATTTGGAACTTGTTTTTTTACTTCACAAATACTGAATTTCAAAATTTCAAATTTTGAGGGTAATGTCCCGGCATCGTTTTAAATTGTTTTGGATAATAAAAAAAAAAATATGATTTTGATGTGTCAGTGCCCCTTTAAGTTGCATCTTTGTTGTAGTGCCTGCCAAGCATTTGTGTTTACCATTACGAAAGCACAATGAAACATACTTTCTTAGTTGCAAGATCCAGGCAATCAAAATGAAGGTAGGCAACACGTGTTGTGCGAGCTATTTAATTTTGAGTAAACCAGCGGATGAAACGCCGTTAGATGAAACTGGGCTGCTAGGCTTTGCATTTAGCTGTGCCGACGCCTTCGACACATGAAGACCAACGTCGTTACAACACTCTTTATTTCTTTCCGCCGCAATCTGCGCTCTCCTCTCTTCCTGCTCATCCCCTCTGACTGGTGCCCTCTTGCGTCTCCTCCGGGAACTACTGAGTTCCCGGAGGAGTTCTCTGAATGACGCCCTCTCCGGGTGTCATCAGAAAATGGGGAGTTCGTGTGTGGCTTCAGTCATCGTCGCCGCCACACACTTTTTACAGGGTTCAACCTAGCCAAGTGTGACTGACGCGCATTATTGCTGCCGACGCCCAGGCCGCAGGTGGGACGCCCGCCTCGAAAATTGCGTACGCAGAGGTGCTCCAGCTGTACGGGGAGTGCCTGGCCGAGGCGCGGTCGGAGAACTCGGACACCATCGCCAGGGAGTACCTCGACAAGGTAGGAGAATGCCCTTTCTCTCTTTCTCCTTATTCCGGTTTCGCCACGGGCACAGAGGGGCCTCTTTTACTTCATCTGCTCAACAGAATGTCGCTTGGACATTGCCAATTTTTTTACGTTTTTCCGGCTTTTCATTTACGAACTTCTGTCCCGTTTAACATCCTATGGTATGTGCATTACTCATTTCTCGTATGTTGCATTTTCCTTCCCGGTTCATCGGTTCAAAATCCTTGCTTATGTGCGGCACCGTTGTTACCACACAGTGACTGCTGTCGTGCAGCTAGAAATGCAAAGGAATGTATTGCTGTCTGCCCATTTGTGAAGGGGGCGTGCAGTGTGTTCCCCAATTGCTACATACTTTGGTGACCCCGTGGATGTGTCAAGCGGGATTGATTAAACATAGAGGGAATGTGCATAAAATTATACCTACCGTATTTACTTGAATGTAAGGCAGCCACAAAGGTAGATCAATGCCTTTATGTTAAACTCGCCAAAAAAAAAATTCAAATATAGGTTGATTTTTTTTTTAAGAACAGAGGCAAGTTTGTGCAAAAGAAACAAACCTTTATTTACAGCGCTCTCTGTTAAATCACAGCACTATTCCAAAAAATTACGAAAGAAGGCAAAGACGGGTGAAGTGACGAAAGACCAAATGCAGACGCGAGCAATGACGCGAGCCGCCGTCAGCAACAAGAAGCGAAAGTAACTGCCGTATTTTGTTTTGCTGCCTGTTGGCGAGGGGGAGAGGGGTGGAGGGGGCAAGGTGCATCACATCCCCCTCCCTCCCCTTCCCCCCTCACGGTGGACACGCGCAAGCGGTGTTAGCCGCAGTCAAACGCGAAACCCAACGCCCGAAGGATGCGCGTGAGCGGTGGCCGCGGCGAGCCTCCGGCTGCTGCTGCTTCGGTTGTTTTCGTGCACCGAAAGCTTTCCGCAACAAGAAGTGGTGCAGCACTACGGCAACGCTGGCTCGGTGACTGGATGCGCTCTGTAGGGTCGCGAAATTCAGTCACAAATGTAGGTCGAAATTTTGTAATCACAAATTTATGTCGACCCTTAATTTTTCACATTTATGAAAAAAATAAAAAAAATTTGACCGACATTTGAATAAATACGGTAGTTGCTATGTGCAATAACAGGTGTCGCTATCAGGGTGGCGAAAGGCTGCAGATGTTTTAAATTAATGCTCGGTTTGATCCCCAAGCTCGCTTTTCGCGGAACTTCGAAGGGAGGGAGGTCTGGCCCAAGACATCCGAGATTGTCCCATCGTGTCTGTCGTCGGCATCCCTTTCGTCTACTGCGTTTGATTGACCCGCATCAGCCTGCACCAGTCCGGTGTAGGCCAGTCGAAACGAGCACTTTGCCTGGGGGGCATGCAGGCGGTGCACCTGCTGGAGGGCGCCGGGGCGTGCAGCGAGGCCCTGTGGACGGCGCACCTGCGACTGGCCCGCTTTGCTGACGGCCAGCTGCAGGGCATTGACCGCTACCTGGGCTCCCCGGAGTTCCAGGCCAAGCAGGACCTGCTCACACAGTCCAGCCAGATCCTGGACTCTACCCCCTCCAGGGGCTCCAGGTGGGGCCTTTCACAACTGCCTAGTCTGCTGGGATCGGTTTACAGGTGTCAAAGTTTTCACCACGTTGAAATATAATAACGTGTTGAACGGAAGCAAAATTTAAGCACCTCTCGATCCTATCTAATGAAACACGGTGAGGCACAAAATGTGTTGCGAACAAGTTGGGCGAAATGAACATAAATAAGTAGCGCCGTGGACGGACAAGGTCACGCAAACAAAGACGAGCGCTCGCTTGAGCTATTTATTTGCTCTATATTTTAAGCATGTGCGAATAGTGGATTTGGTGTTTGAGGTTGTGGGGATTCCTGTGGTCTCCCTTCCGCGATGGCTGTGATAACGACCGCGGGTCGTAATGCTCGGCCTCCTTCGTCGTGAACCTGTTTGTGAAGCGGAGGGTCCCCTGTTTTGAAGGACCCTCACCCTCTCCTGGGGAAGACCTTCTTCCATTCCCCCGCTCGGATCACTGCAGACAGGCAAGGAAATTTCGCCTCTTGTTTTCACGCTATTGGGAAGGAGACCCGTGCGGTGACCGCGAAAGAGATAGGGCGTGTGTCAGCGACTTCTCCGATGCTTCCCCAATCTTGGCTCTCCGGAACCCCGCGTCTGGCAGGTAAGGACCTTTTCTTACCTTGCCGGCGCAAGACATTTTGGATGAGGACATCGTAGCTTGTATAGGAGAGTGTTTTAATAAATGCTCTCGGGCTCTGTCCTTACTCTGGTACCTGTGTCTTTCTTCCGCTATATTCGAGGGAGCGATACAAAGTAGTCGATCAGTGGCACCGACGGAGGTAATTAATCGAACCGACCCACGGTAATGTAGCCCTAAACATTGCCTATATTGCTGCGGAGATGTGGGACCATGCTACTAGGTTTGACGTCTCCTTTGAGATCACCGTCGCTGTTGAGACAACCCTCTGGCTACTCTATCAGTACCTCTGTTAGTAGCTAGCGATAACCACAAAAAGAATAGTTTCCCTTTGTGGTATATAATATTCCATTCGAATATTTTCGAATGGAATACTGAATATTTTTGACGAATTTTTTATTACTTTGCCACGCCTAAACGAGAACCCATCTGAACTCGTAAAGGTTGTTTCCAAGCTTCCACTTGTTCGTACCTAAGCTAATTTCAATCTAGCGATATTTATGGACGGTGACCTCAGGAAGTATACATCGCCTACATGGGAACGGCAAGTAAACAATGTATTTGACATAACATTAAACCTACAGAGATACCCAGCCTTACCTAATCGATGAGATTTGTAAGTTATCTTGCTAGCTGCTAATATTCTCTAAATCTAGAATTTGAAAAAATAAAGAAGGTAATCATGAATGACGAATGTAGATTGCCAGTGCACCTGTCCCTAACATATGCTCTCGCATAATAGCCGCAGTTTAATTTTGAAAATTTTACTGTAGTGTAGGTATTAACATTCACAAAGTTTCAGTTTCTTTTTGTACACATCTCAAGCACACGCATGTACCATCCCGCTTTTAAACTGGGCTTTCCTCTTAAGAATGTGACTGCAACATTTGTAGTTTTCAAAGTGTTGATCGCAGCGGGTTTGCCCCATTGAGCGCGCTTCTTACCGAGCACCAGTGCTCTGCGGAGAAGCAACACTCGCGGAGCTTGCTTCCACGGGTGTTGTTTCTCCGCAGTGAACCGGCGCTGGGTTAGAAGTGCGCTCAATGGGGCTATTTCGTTGCGGTCGACACCTAAAAAAATATGAATGTCAGAGTTTATCTCGAAGCGAATATCGAACAGCGTAGCTATTATTCAACACTACTCTTCGAAAATTTTAATATTCGCGCAACAGTACTATTTTTATTTTTTATGTAAGCAACTAGCCCACCTTAATATTTTACTCAGGCACATTCTGTGTGCGTGCGTGACAGCATTTGACATTGTGACTGCGCAGTCGTGTCGCATTACACACACACAGGACATGCCCAACTCATTTGCAACACATTTTGTGCTATAATACTCAAAGAACGGGCAAGCTGGGGACGATTCATCGTGAAAAGACCTTGCAACCGAGGAAAACAGAGAAAAGGGGACACCATGCACAAAGTCTCAAACAGCTTGGGACTGTGTGTGGTGCCCCTTTTTTCTGTTTTCCTCAGTCTCGAGGTTTACCAAAGAAAAAGCCATTCTGGGAATCTCCAAGTTTATCAGATCCGATTGAGATAGGCTTAAATTTACATGTACGGTATACATCTTTAACACATCAAAAGCTGCAGATTCTTGTAGCACGCCGTTGCAGGCTTATTTCGCGATTACTGAGAAACAAATGATCTGTAAGCTTCTTATAATGGTGCAGACAGTGTAGATCTCATTAGCAGAAGGTCAAGGAAGTTCGATTACCTAAGAGTGTGTTACATTTTCAACGAGCGTTTTGTTTGTTGCCAACAAACGCTACAAACACTTATCCTGCAAGAGCAAAGCTTTTTGGGTTTTTTCTCACATTGTTGACTGCATAGCTTTTAATGCGGAAGCATAAACTGTCTTATGGAGCGAGCCGACGTCATCAGCTTTGAAGCCGCGCCAAACGGCAGCTGAATTCCTTTTTTCCAGTGGAGCAAAGTGATGCCGCAATCTGAAGCCTCCCAGCTTTGAAGCTTTGCAAAAATGTGCAAAGTACACCTAAGCACTTCTTATGGGTTGTGACTGCGAAAGCATGAATGTCGTTTTTGCGTGCATCCACGTGAAGTTGCCGCACCTCGCTGACATCGGCCATGCACATACTGTCGGTGGCACGGAATTGGCTGGCGTTCTAGGGCACACGTGCCGCCACCCAATGGCGCCAGCCAATTCCTTTTGCCGGCATGCAGGCAAGCAGCGCCATGGAGTGGCATTGACTGGAACTGATGTGTGGCGGGCTCCTTAGACTTATTTACTTGCCGTTTTGCACGATTTTTTGCGCGGCTTCAGAGCTGTGATGCCTTAGATCGTGGCTTCACGAATTTATCTGCCGTTTGGCGCGGCTGACGTCGGCTCGCTCCATGGGACCGTTAATGCTTTCGCATTAAAAGCCACGCCAAACGGCAGCTAAATTCCCCCTCTCATAATGGAGCCAAGTGAAGCTGCGATCTGAAGCCTCCCAGCATTGAAGCCGCGAAAAAAGCCACGCAAAACAGCGCCAGCTAAATTCACCTCTCCGAAAGGAGCTAAGTGAAGCTGAAATCTGATGGATACGCTCCCATTGACTCCGCGCATCAGTTTCAAGGAGCGCCACCATATGGCGCCGCAGGCCCGCGCCGCCAGCGCACTGGTGAAAGGAATCTGCTGGCGGCGGGGCCTCCCAGAGCCAGATCGGGCAGACTCCAGAGCGGCAACACGGCCGATCTCAGTGCGGCGCAGCCACTTCAGGGGAGCGCGTGCAAGAATGACATTCGTGCTTTCCCATTCACAACTCGTATAAAAAATGCTTAGGTGTACCTCGAGTCTTTTGTTTCTCCTGTGTGTCTCCTCCTTTTTCATTATTTTATTTTTGCTCCGTTTCTACTGTTATGAATCAGCAGCTAAACCAGGCTTCCATCTTAACAATGCATAGCCCTTTCATCTATCAGGTTAACTGGGGAAAGTGTCATAAAATCTTGCTCTTTCTTTACTACATAAGTGCGAGTTCATCAGTCCAGTCGCACTCTGGTAATGAGCAAAAATAGAGTAGGACCTGTGAAAAAACGGTTAAAGTACAGGCGAGCTGGTTGTACGTTATACATGATGATTGAAACCCGAGACTAGTTCGAAAAACGGAAACTCGTGAAGTAGGAAGAAAAAGGGACAGACAACGTCTCAAATTATACATGATGATTGAAACCTGAGACGGGGGAGGTGCTTCTAAGGTGTAGAGGCAATAAAGATTTTAGCTGAGTTTGAGATGTTGTCTGTCCCTTTTTCTTCCTACTTCACGAGTTTCCGTTTTTTAAACCACAGTCTCAGGTTTTAGTCATCATGTATAACTTACACCACCTCGCCTGCACTTTAACCTTTTTTCATTGAACGTCTCAAACTCAGCTTTATTGCCTCTACGCCTTATATACACCTCCCCCGAACATCGCCACCACCACAACTGTTATCACCGAACTACAAACAATACACCAGAATCACAGTACACCGAACCGCAAACAATACATAAAAGAAAAGAGAAGGATGCCCTATCGGGGGTACGAGGTGAAGATGGAAACGATAGGGCACGCTTTTCTTTTTTTTATGTATTGTTTGTGGTTCGGTGTATTGTGATTCTGGTGTATTGTTTGTAGTTTGGTGATCAACCGTTATTGTGATGGTGACGTTTGGGGGAGGTGCTTCTAAGGTGTAGAGGCAATAAAGTTTTTAGCTGAGTTTGAGATGTTGTCTGTCCCTTTTTCTTCCTACTTCACGAGTTTCCGTTTATCAAACCACAGTCTCAGGTTTTAGTCATCATGTATAACTTACACCACCTCGCCTGCACTTTAACCTTTTTTCATTGAACGTCTCAAACTCAGCTAAAAGCTTTATTGCCTCTACGCCTTATATACACCTCCCCCGAACATCGCCACCACCACATCTGTTATCACCGAACTACAAACAATACACCAGAATCACAGTACACCGAACCGCAAACAATACGTAAAAGAAAAGAGAAGGATGCCCTATCGGGGGTACGAGGTGAAGATGGAAACGATAGGGCACGCTTTTCTTTTTTTTATGTATTGTTTGTGGTTCGGTGTATTGTGATTCTGGTGTATTGTTTGTAGTTTGGTGATCAACCGTTATTGTGATGGTGACGTTTGGGGGAGGTGCTTCTAAGGTGTAGAGGCAATAAAGTTTTTAGCTGAGTTTGAGATGTTGTCTGTCCCTTTTTCTTCCTACTTCACGAGTTTCCGTTTATCAAACCACAGTCTCAGGTTTTAGTCATCATGTATAACTTACACCACCTCGCCTGCACTTTGACCTTTTTTCATTGAACGTCTCAAACTCAGCTAAAAGCTTTATTACCTCTACGCTTTATATACACCTCCCACGAACATCGCCACCACCACAACTGTTATCACCGAACTACAAACAATACACCAGAATCACAGTACACCGAACCGCAAACAATACATAAAAGAAAAGAGAAGGATGCCCTATCGGGGGTACGGGGTGGAGATGGAAACGATAGGGCACGCTTCTTTTTTTTATGTATTGTTTGTGGTTCGGTGTATTGTGATTCTGGTGTATTGTTTGTAGTTTGGTGATCAACTGTTATTGTGATGGTGACGCTTGGGGGAGGTGCTTCTAAGGTGTAGAGGCAATAAAGTTTTTAGCTGAGTTTGAGATGTTGTCCGTCCCTTTTTCTTCCTACTTCACGAGTTTCCGTTTATAAAACCACAGTCTTAGGTTTTAATCATCATGTATAAGTAGGACCCATTGGTAATGGGGTCTGATGGAACTCGACCATCCCTACCCCCAGGTAAAGTGTTCTTCCAGGGCGCTATTCAAGCAGATCTGAGCCACTCTGATGCATACCATATTTTTGTGCATATTACCTGTCCCTGCATGTAACCCAATTTTAAGCCTGCTTTAATGATATTTCATTGGTAAAAACATTGCAATCAAGTTACACAAAATGAGAGGCTATATCCTTTTGAGACAAATTACTTAAAATTATTGTATGACATATAAGGCAACAAAAATAGCATCACTGCACAAAGCATGTCTTGGTGAATGCAATTCTGTAAAAATTTCTGATATATTCTGAAGAATTTTACGTTAACGGCCCAAAAGAAGGACCTAATTAAAATTACAAATTTATTGATAACTGGGTATCTATCTGAAAACAAACTGCATATTTGGAATCACCACTGAGAAAGGCACAAGAATACTAAATTTCAGCAAGATAAATTAAAAACTAAAAAGAAGTTCAATACCAGCGTTCCCCCTTAAAGGGCCCCTGAAAAGAAAAAAAAGTTTTTTTAAAACAGTCTGGTTGGGACACCCGTGAAAAAAATTAATTTTACGCGAAAAAAAAAAATTTTTTAGAGCAATATTGACGGCGAGAGATTTATTTGAAAATTTGCGCGCAAATTCCAGGTCATTCAGCTCGGCTTCTCATTGGTAACCATGGTCATTCAAATCGGCTTCTCATTGGCCAATAGAATGAGTGACAGCTTAGATGTTGGTTATAAAATCGTCGTGATCTCTTGAAATCGCCTTTTGAATTACATATTTTTAGGTTTAAGAAACAATCCATCGAATGAATGTCGCAATTGTTTACAAACGTTTTACAAAATCGTAACTTCCGTTCGGATACTACAACAAAACAACAAACAAAAGCTTCGCCATTTTGTTTTCTGTCGTGGTCGCCGTCTTCGCGTTTGGCGTTCTGAAGAGGGCTTGTTGCTTGTGTTAGTTACTAGTTAGTCAGTCATAGTAAGTACTTAGGAAGTGGCGCGGGGTGACAGGTTTCTGTTTTTCTGCTCTTCTTTGCGCGATACGTGTGTCCCGTTTACTTCATCTTTTGTTTGTTTTCTGGCGCGCGCCAGTGCCAATGTTTGTTTAGATGTCGGTTCCCGTGGTTCCCGTAAAGAGTTTAGTGAGGCACGCGGCACCGCACTCAACGTTTAATAAAAAAAAAAAAATCAGTTACCACTGCGTGTCCTCGCGGCGGCTTGAAGGATCGTGCGGCTCAAACAAACTCGTCGAGGCACCCGCTTCGCCGCGGCGAAGCGGGTGCCTCGCGAGCGGTTGTCTCGCGGCGATCGGAGCGGACGCCTTCCGGCTGGCGAGGCGTGTCCTGGTACGGGCGAAGGCCCAGCTGCTGGCAGCGTTGAAGCAACCGACGCTTCAGGTCGGGGTCCACTGCGACGACTATGTACTGTGTGTACGACCACGGTGACCACAGTACGTGCACGATACGATGCGTTATGTCGTTCGACCGGCAGACAGCCGGCCAGGGGCTGTGTTCCAAATCTCCAAATGGATCCGAGTTCCTCCGGCGGACCGTATCACGTGACAGCACAGATTGAAAAACGCTGTACGCGGGTAGGTTTTAGAACGCCAAGAGTACAAAACCCTCACCCTGGGGTAAGATCGAGTCAATTTTGGAACATGGCCAGGAAGTAGCAATGGCTCTCGTGCGGGGCGCAGCCAAGCCAAGAAAGCAGCCAAGCCGATCCACTACGAAGAGGCGGGGACTACCTCTCCTCCACGCGCCCGAGATGCCGAGAGAGAGAAAAGTGGAAAGGAGGTGACTGCCGACTAAATTGCGTCTGGCGCAGTCAATATTGCTCTAAAAAAATTTTTTTTTCGCGTAAAATTCATTTTTTGACACGCGTGTCTCAACCAGACTGTTTTTGAAAAACTTTTTTCTTCTTTTCAGGGGCCCTTTAAGGCAGACGTGGTCTCCTCGAAGTCGAAAGGCAGGAGAACCCTTGTCTTCGATAGTACCTATGCTCTATGCGGGCAAGCCCGAGTGCTCAGCCTTACCTGGACACTTCTATCTGGGCTCAGATTTGTGGTTGGCAGTATGGCAAGCATGCTCTCGAAGGTCCTCGTCCTCTCGGCTCCAGTAACATGGACAACTCCAATTTACCGTGCTCGCCTCCTGTCTTTAGCACATACCACCACCTAAAAGACGACGTAGTCACTACCGAGTCCATGCAGCATCGCTTAGCTCGTGTCGGTGCCGCCGCCAGTGCATCGTGCAACGTCTCGAGTAAGATGCTAACACGTGCGACACAGGACGCGCGCGTATGCCGCTTTGCGGCATACTTTCGGTGAGCTTTGGTGTGTTTGCCGCTTTAGGCTCGTTGAGGGTGCGCCAACGACAACTTTTCGAGCGGCCCTCGTCTTTTACGCTGCGTCGCTTTGGCCCCCTCGTCTTCGAAGGCCTTAACCCCGGTCGTCCCGTGGGTTCCCCCAGGGAGGACGCGCGGGCGCTGCGGCTGCTGGAGCGGCAGAGCGACCTGGACCGGGGGGAGGCGGCCGGCCTGCGAGCCTCGCGCACCCGCTACCTGCTCCAGGCGCTGGGCAACTACCTGCGCTGCCTCCGGGGCAGCTCCACCCACGACCTGCGCCTGTTCCGCCTCGCCTCGCTCTGGGTCGGCAACGCCTCGCTGCCGGACGTCAACGCGCTCCTGCAGGTGGGCGCCTCCTCGGAACCCCTTTGTTGCCACTTTGGGACCGCTCCCGACACATGGATGCCAACCGGTCGGAGACTCGTTTCGGGCATTGTACCGTCCACTAAAGCTTCCGAACCATCTTATGTAAAGATTGAATGTGTAGTGTACTGGTCCCTTCCTGCCTGTAAAGTGTCAACCTCCCGTGATGACTGGTATTCTCTCTAGAGCCGATAACAGTGCAAACGCACTGTTATCGTAAATCTTGGCTTTTGATTGTGCCTTTGTAGATCATCTTATTCAATTTGCCGGAGAGACGCGAATGACGGGCATAACAAAATCGTTTGCAAATTCCGCATTCCTCGCAAAAGCACTTCCCCAGTCACCTAGCGAAAAGCGCGAAACAAGGAGTCCGCACCGTCCGGACTTCCCAATCTTTTACCTGCTTTAAAGCAGTTTGTACCTGCTAGTGCCGTAAAATACTGAGCATGGGCCCATGTCACATTAAAGGGTAACTGCAAAGAAAAAATATATTTTTTTTAAACAGCCTAATTGGGACAAGCGTGTCAAAAAACAATTTTTCCGCATGAAAAAAAAATTTTTACGGCAATATTTATTGCGTGAGACTGATTTTAGTTTGCGGCTATTTTGCCCAATTTAAATCGCGCGCCACGAAGTTGGGATTCCGTGACGTTAATCCCAATCGGCTCTCATTGGCTAAGAGTTTGATTGACAGCTTAGATCTTGGTTGTTAAACCTTTGTTATATGGTGAAATTTCCTTTTGAGCGGCATATTTTTTTGTTTAAAGAATAACCCATGTGATGAGAGTTATTATTCTTTACAAAAGGTTTACAAGACGGGCACTTCCGTTTGGATTCATACCATAACAGACAAAAGCTTCGCCATTCTTTCATGGCCGCCGAAGTCTCTGCTCCCGCCTGTCTCGCCTACCTCGACTAATCGTTTCGGCGAAGTGATCAGTGTTTCGTACTGACCCAGGTGCTTGAGTGAGACTTCTTGAAGTGAAGTAGTGTGTGTTTAGCAGCTGTTGCAGGTGTTAGTGATAGGAAGCGACGCGGGGTTTTGGCTTTCATGGCGTGGTTCTTCCGTTTTCCTCTTTGCTTGCTTAGCGTGCTTTTTTTTGTGTTTGGTTTGCTTGTTTGCGCGTGCAAATGCTGACTTTTCGGAGATGTCAGATGCGTGATCCCGACAGTGAGCCTTCCAGCAGCCATGTCACCCCGAAAGGAATGCTATTTGGCTGGAGGCAATCGGGCATTCGCGTAGCGACAAACGTGTCCAGTTACGCTCTCGTCATATCGCTCCGGAGGCCATCGAGATTCGCACCGGGCGCACCTAACGTCCACAACTAGACACACAAAATAAAAAAAGCACCATGTTCACTACGTAAAAAGTGGTCTCAGTTCATGCATCTGTAGACAGGTACGAAATCTTGCCCAACTTTATTCACACCGCACGACAAGCGCAACACGTCGCTGTGCAAACGCAGTCCAACAACACGAAGCATAAAAACGGCAGATTTAGGACAACAATTCGGAGTCCATTGTTCAAATAAAACGACGTAATTTATTTGAAAATGCCCGCAGCTTTTTACTCACGGTATGCGTCCGGAATCTTCCACATTTTGAAACAGAACGGAGGAAGATTTACTTTTAAAAACGCTCGCTGCGTCCTCCCGGGCCAGTTTTACTGGATCAGCTGACGACGACGGGACTGGACCCCTTTGTACGTCAACCCTGCATAACACACATAGCACCGCATTACACACACCACGAACGTTTCAGCTCTGTCGCATCGCCGTGTTGCACCAAACAGAACGAGATCGTTTGAAACCAACGCAGCGCTGTCGTGAACCTTGGCTTGTGGTTGCGCACTCTTGGATTCTGTGACTCCCTTCGCTTTCAAAGCACGCACGACGATTACGAACGATACTTTCCGTCTTCCAAGAACATCACAGGGTCACTACTCCGGTCATGTCTTCGCTACATGTGCTCGCAAACCGCGTCAAACCAAAACAATACCGCGGCCTGGCGTAGTTGCCAGATCTTGCCGGAAGTCGAGACGCTGCGTCGTTCAACTCCGCAACGCAAGGAGAGTGAGGGGCGGGGCGTACTCCTCTTCCGCGGGGGTCGAAAGAGCGGGAGTTTCAAATGTGGACAGGTTCTGACTCTACTATATTGCGTCCTGTGGCGTAAATATTGATAAAAAGAATCATTTTTTTCGCGGGACATTTGTTTTGTGACATGCTTGTCTCAATTAGGCTGTTTAAAAAAAACTTTTTTTTCTTTGCAGTTACCCTTTAAGGGCCCACCTCCTATTTTTGAACGATTTCAAAAACAAACAGAGGACACATCAACCGCCCACCCCCCATTTTAGGCAAATTTCAAAAAATATGCGAAGGACATGGCAAGCGCCCAGTCGCCGCGGACTGCCGTTATCTCCTGAAGTTGAAGCGACCGGCGCTAGTTATGAGCACGGTGTAAGATACCGTGGTTATGAGTCACGACAGCGCGAGTGAAGGGGGCGAAGGGCGCCACGGGAATCGGGCGAAGGGCTCCGGTGCAACATGGCAACACTCTGGCGCCGCGGGAATCGAGGTCAAATGGCAGAAATAACAAAAGATACAGGCGAGCTGGCGTACAAAGGAAGAGAGGCAAGGGCACGGTGGCAAGAGTGAAGCAGTGAAGATACACTACGTTGGGGAAAAAGTATCTAGCGAATGGAAAGCTGCACAGAGCTTAGCGCGTGTGCCCGTGTGCCTCTGCCCCTCCACTTCCGCTTGTTGTTCGGTAGTTCGGCTAGTTCCATGTTCATCGTGCTGCATTACTTGCGTTTGCTCAGTTTGCTTGTTTGGACGATGCACTCGTATAGGGTCGTATCTATGCTTCTGCAAGGTTTCTCTGCTTTTATACGTTCTCACGCTCGGCGAATGACGGCCCTTTTCCAAGTGCATCAAATGGCCGCCATTTTGAATTCGGCGGTCGGGCCGAGCAAGGGCCCACCCGACTATGCGATCCTTCTTCGTTTTTGCTCTCGGACCTAAAAAGCGCCCATCCCCGAGTTTTCCGCGATTATGTCATAATTTTGAGTGGGTGCTTGTTGGGTATTTTACGGTAGGTATTTCTTCTAAAACTGCAACGTGAAACTAGGGACAGCGCCAGAGAGAAAAGGGACAAAGTTGGGAAAGCTTGCTCGATCTCCCCAATTTCTCATCTCTCAAGTGATTGTGCCATAATAAATGCATCAACGCCTCTTCCAAAAATAAAGAAAAAGCACTATGTTCACTACGTAAAAAATGGTCTCAGTTATGCATTTGTGGGCAGGTAGAAAATGTTGCCCAAATTTCTTCACACCGCATGATGAGCGCAACAAACTCGCACGAAATTTACAGAAAAATATCGGTGGTGACTTAAGTTTCCCTGAAATTTCGTTTAACCGGTCGTTTGCAGGACCGAATCATCTACTCGAGCGGTGTGCGTCGCTGTGCGAACACATCGCTGTGCAAACACAGTCGAACACGAAGCATAAAAACGGCAGATTTAGGACAACAATCCAGAGTCCATTGTTCAATTAAAGCGACGTAATTTTGTTCAAAACGCCCCGCAGCTTTTTACTTATGGTATGTATCTGGGACCTTCTACATTTTGAAACGGAACGAAGGAAGATTTACTTTTGGAAACGTTCGCTGCGTCCTCCCGGACCAGCTGGACCGGATCAGCTGACGACGACGGGCCTGAACCCGTTGAATTTCAACCCCGCAATAACCAATTTGCACTCCGTGTTAGTGTGGGTTGCTACCTCCAAACAGCGCACCACACACCACGAACGATTCAGCTCTTTGTCTCATCACCGTGTTGCACTAGACGGAACGAGATCACCAAAGTCAATGCAGCGCTGTCGTTAACCTTGGCTTAAGGTTGTGCACTTGTGGACCTTGTGAGTCACTTCGCTTTCAAAGCACGCACGACAATTACAAATGATACTTTCCGTCTTCCAGAAACATCACAGGGGCGCTTCTCTGGTCACGTCTTTGCTACATGTGCTCACCAACCGTGGAGCTTCTCGCATCCCGTCAAACCAATACAATACCGGCGCCACGTTGAACGTGCGTCGTTGCCAGATTTTCTCCGACCAAACAAAAACAATGAAAGCAAACCGGCTCTAGCTTCCAGCATACATCGGCATTGTGCCGTGGCCAGATTTTTTTCGTCAGCTCTAACTTAAAGATGACCTACAGATGCAGCAACACTGGTATGCACCAACTCATGTTTACAAACAAACTGGAGCGCCCCTAGCAGACGCCATTGGCGCCGTGCATGCGCGATGGGGGTGTGGGCAAGAAGCTCCCCGTCGCCCATAAACAAACCATTAAAATGCGATGTTGTCAGCGTCGGTGTGAGTCCCTTTGCCCTTTTTCGCAATCGAATTGTTGATTCTACGTCTTCCTGGCAATGTCTGACTGCTTGAGCGGCCTCAGCGAAATTAACCAGGCTCAATACACCGCAAAACTTCGCGTGAATAATCTGACATGCGGCAATTCATTCCGCACGAACGCCGCAGAATGAATGCTAAAGCGTGATTCGTATGATAAGATTTTGCTCGCAATTTTCATTTGCGACGTCGCCCGGGCTGCAAAAGCGTGAATCCTAGCTGAAATGGTCGGCGTCAATACTGAAAATCGCAAGCACAATCAGACCAAGTGAACCAGGCATAACAAGTCAGTGACGCCCACTGGTAACAATGATCAACACCTCCTTGTATCTACTGTTTACATCCAGCCTGCTTACCAACCTTCAAACCTAAGTCTTTTGAGGCCTGCACTTACTTCTTATTGCAAGTACCGGGCCCATGTTTGGTCTACGGGCCGCTGTCACCTAAAAGAGCAGACGACGAGCAGAAACGTTCGAAAAAGCAGACGGCAGTTCGAATGATCAGGCGGCCGTTTGAACTTGAAGACGCACTGAACGTAGTCCGCAGGTGTGCCGTACAACTTGACGGTTTTCCGGCGTTCATGTTGGAACAAAACAAATAAATCTGATGACCACAAGCATCCGTGAATTCGACCCAAAGTGCTTCTTGCCCAAGCAATCGTTGTCCGACGGCGTCTGGTTTTCCCTCTTCACGGCAGCCACCACGGAGGGGCGTAAATTCTGAGGAGGTTGCGCGGGAAACGGCGGCACCTCCCCCCCCCCCCCCCCCCCCAATCTGGCGTATCTTCGACAAAACGCACCGGAAGTCGAGACGCTGCGTAAAACACGTCAACTCTGCAGCCAAGTCAATCCAAGAGCGAAAAGCGAGGCGTACCCCTCCTTTGCACACGTCGTACTCCTCCTCCCCACGGATTGAAAGAGCTGGAGTTTGAAATGTGGTGAGGTTGTGACTCCGACTAAATGCAACATAAATATTGCTAAAAAAATTTTGTTTTCGCGGTAGATTTGTTTTGTGACATGCTTGTCCCAATTAGGCTGTTTAAAAAAGCACTTTTGTTTTTCTTTGCACTTGCCGTTTAACTACCAGAAAGTTCCAAATGAACGGCCACCCAAAATGAAGAGACAAAAAAAAAAATTAAGAAAAATATGGGGTGGGCGATGTTTCAGAATGCAACTTATCTCCAATTTTTATAAAAGAAATTGGTGATAAGCATAAATGGGGTAGGGGTGCAGGCTACCATTACAGACTATGTGAAACGGGAACTGATACCGCAGACCGCGGACATAGCAAATCCGAGTCTTGCAGTGCTATAAGTATTAGGGGAATTTGCTACAAGCTCCCGTGTCACGAGAACAGATACCGCAGAATGCGGACGCAGCGCATTTGCGCTTCACAGTGCAATAAATGCGCGAAGACCTGCTTTAAACTCGGGTGTCACGGGAAAGGATATTGCGCTAGCAAATTGCGGACAAAAGCGTGAGAGAACGCTACAAACACGCATGTCACGGGAACAGATACTGCAGATTGCGGACGCTGCAGGTTCACATGTCGCAATGCAATAAACACGAGAGAACCCATGGGGAACACGCTTGTCACGCGTCCTGACGCCGCAGATTGTGCGGTTGATGCTATACCTTTCAGACATCGCGTGATCGATATTCAGCAAGAATCATGGGGTTGGTGATTTTTCGAAATTTTTATGTTATGGATATGCAGCCCAAAACATGGGATAGGTGATCTCTCGGGGGCAGGCATTCTCTTAGAACCTTACGGCGTGCTCTGCAAATTGCAAACTTTTCTTGGGGCACCTCCGGCGATTTCTTTGTCAAAGAAAGCAAAAAATTGTATTCCGTGGTGCCACAAGCAGTTTCCACGTTGGCAGCACTTGGCCAGTAGGCACAGAAAGCGATGTGACCATCCTTAGGCCCAACCACTAGGGAAATTTCATGGTGCGAAAGCGGATTACAGACCACAGCATGTTTGCTGACATTAGTGTATTTGATGAACTAAACACCTCATAGGACTGGGTGATGCTCAGGCCAAGCTTTGTTGGGGTTGTGCGTGCCACGCTCAATTCCGTAGCTTCCGTGGGAACGCCACCATAATGCAACCATTCTGGCTTGGTTTGGCGTGGCTTGGCCATGTAATTGGCTCGGCAGCCTGGCGGCTAGTCGCACACTGTGCTCATTCCCTCCTTTTCTTGACCGCGCACATGGTACATAAAAGCAATAAAATGTGCTTGGGTGTGATTTGAGTTTGGTCAGCATTATCCCCACACTTTTTAATGCTCCCAGAGTTGCAGGAATTTTCGAGTGCATAAAAAATCCTTAGAATTAAGTGGTCCTTAAATTTTGAATTACCACTCATTTTTACAGTTGAGCTGTTATGCACTAGGATCTAGAAAAAAATGTGTCTGGTCTCTTGTTGTCAGCTCTAGGCATTGCCTTTAAGGTCGTCCTAAAGGCTGTCCTAGGCGTCGTCCTTTTGGCGGCATCCTCGAGGTCATCCTAGAAGTCGTCCTTGTGGTGGTCGTTCTAGACGCCATCCTCAACGTCGTCTTCGAGGTCATCTTAGAAGTCGTCCGAGAGGTCGTCCTTTAGGTGGCGTCCTCGAGGTCTTTCAAAAGTCGTCCTTGAGGTCATTCTGGATGTCGTCCTTGAGGTCGTCCTAGAAGTCGTCCTCTAGGTCATCCTAGAAGTCGTCCGTGAGGTCGTCCTTGAGGTCATCCAGGACGTCTTTGAGGATGTCCTAGAAGTCGTCTGAGAGGTCGTGCTAGACGTCGTCTTCTAGGCGTCTTCCTCGAGGTTATCCTGGGATTCATACTTGAGGTCGTCCTAGAGGTCGCCCTCTAGGCATCGTCCTAGACGTCGTAAAAACAACAGCTTCGCTGCTCCTCAATCTTCATGTGAAGTGGAAGGGCCTTACAATTATGTTTTTATAGACTCGTACGTGGAATTGCCAGGCTGCAACCCTATTTTGAACAAGCCAAAAATTCTAATGAAGCTACTTTGAATTACCGAGAGTTGACCGTAAGCCCATAGGAGCCATTATTAAAACAGAAATGTGACAATACTAGGGATGGCCGAATATTCGGTTATTACGAATAGACCATCGAATTCTGTACTATTCGGCATTCGCTTCGAATCGAATTTAAGTATTCGGTAATATTGAATCATTTGTCAATATCGAATTATTCGGCCTTTCCGAATACTCTGGCCTGGATTTCCGGCCAGGGGGCGCAAGCTTCCGACCATTTCGTGCTCCCGAACTCAGTACACTTGAAATTGAGAATTACAGTACTTTTAATACCAAATAAGGGCAAATATAAAACTATAATGTAAACATATCTAGTGGTATTTGTTGCTTGCACTATTCAAACTATTCGATTCTAAATTATTCGGCCAACGTCACTGTTCGCTTCGAATTCGATTCGGACCCAAAATCCTCTATTCGCCCATGCCTAGAGAATACTCCCGAATTGAGCTTGGGACAAAGTGATTCCCAAGCAGATACTATACAGACGGAGGTTACAGGGCAGGTCAGGTGCGTAGGGACAGCTAACAGTAGGCTTATAAAGTAAAACGTTCACACCAGCTCGATGATGCTGACAAGTACCCGGAAACAAAGAATGCGTTGAGCTACCACACGTAAAGAGTGTGGTAGCACTAGCATCGACGTATGTTAGCACCACTCGTTGCGCACTGACAGCAGATACACAACCCATACACTTTGTGCATATGGTAGCCGAACATGATCCATGTCCCTCAGTCTTTGTCAGCACAATGAAGCTAGCGGAAATCTTTTTTTTTGTTTTTTTGTTTTAATAAATTGAGGGATTACTTAGCCAAAGAATGGCGACCTATCAGAGTCTACAAAAGTTTTGCCATGGGGGGGGTGTTGCCAACGAAAGTGAACCACCTGTTTCAAGGGCGGCCTTCCGGCCGCGTCGACACCTTGGCCACCAAAGGCCATATCAGCTTTGCCTCTCTTCGCAGGAGGGCCTGATGCAGCTGGAGAGCTACAAGTTTGTTCCGCTCATCTACCAGCTGGCAGCCCGGATGAGCCGCCCCAGGGCCCGGGGGCAGTCGGACTTTGCGACTCTGCTCTTCCAGGTGACGCTTTTCTTGCGAGTTACAACATGCGACGGAGTGAACGCGTGGTTCCTGAGGTGATATGGCACTTGGAACACGTGTCCGACCGTTTAGTGGTCACGTATGCATCGCGCCATTGCCCGTCGCAGTCCCGGCGGCAGCGCTGATGGATCCGGCTAGCACCAGTTGTGCAGGCCGTAACCTGACGAGCTCTTCGGCTCGTCAGCTTACGGGAGCTTTGGCAGCCAGAAGGTGGGACGCCACGATGACGCCGATGCTCAGATTTGCTCGACTTTTTTGCCAAAACTTGCGGACGGGCTGCCAGGATTGCGACGTTCGACGACACGACGGGACCACTTCTGACACATGGTTAGGATGGGACAGTAGACACGCCAAACAAAGACATATTTCAGGCGCCGTTGTTAGTGTTGCCACCAGTCGAGTGTTTGACCGAAACGGCCGGTCTTTTTTTGTATGGCAGGCTGGTTGCGGTTTCTATCTAAAACCAGCAGTCGTGCGTCAATTTTCTCAACTGTCCAAGCGTTTTTTTTTTTGAGGGAGGTCATAAATATTTTTAGCTCAAAACCAAGTTCCAGCGCTAAGTAAACTTCTAGCGCAACACTTTGCTCTAGCGCGAAACTACCGCAAAATGTTCTTGTCAACGTATATTGTTTTTACACAAAGTTCTCGAAAATCTGTTTAGGACTCCCAAGTAGAGGAAGCGCTTGAGCGAGCTTGCTTGAGAAACGACTGCATCCCTCAAAATCTCCAAGTGACTGTGGGAGCAAGCAGGAAAATGAAAGGAAAATAGGAGCAGGACAGCCTGCGCGGGTGCAGGAAACATGTGAGGACTATTGTCTCGAGAGCTATCTGTGTCTTTGAGGTAAGGAGGAATGGTTTTATGACTTCTAACAATTGTTGGCATCCTGACAAACACGCGTGGTGCAGACAGACACACACCCGTCCAAGGAAGCAGGCAGCCGCAGCGTTTCCACTTTGTTTCCAATTTTACGCTTGTTTTCTTTTCAGACACATACGTTCACTTAATGCTAAGACAAAACAAAAAAATTGCTTATTGAAATTATTGTTTTTATATTTTGTTGTATTTTGGGGCCTTTTTTGCATTTTTTGGGAGGGTTTGCCCGGCACATGCTGAAGCATGAGCCGGCTGTCTCCGGGAGAGGCTGCCACCTGTAGCCAAATTGTAGCCTGCGTGTGACAGGAGCAACGCACAATCGAAATGGCTTGCTGAGTGCATGTCTGCTTACTTACCGTCCTGCACAGCATGAGTAGAGCTGTGGGGTTGGTTTTGGGCTCTTTTGACTAAATGGTATGTGGGTACGTACCAGGGTTCTCCCCACGGTGGGCGGCAGTGGCTTTGCCACCCACAGCTCCGGCCTACCGCCCACTGCTCGATGATGCCACAAGATGACAATGCAATTTTGCTGTACGCATGGTTGCAGCTCGTCGTACTCGGCAGACCCGCACACCGCCACGTTATCGCGTGCTATTGCATCGCCGACTACCGGCACTCCTTCAAAGAAGGAGTGCGGAGCCAACCCCTTTTAAATACCAAAGCCGTAATGCGAAGTGAGATTGCACCATCAGGAAAGGCCAACACTGGACACAGATTCAAAACGAGTGCTGCGTCAGCCTTCGAGTCAAGTTTGAGACAAACGTTGACGCAATCGTCGTGTCCCACCTGTGCCCAGCTCTGGCCTTCTCCGGTGACGCCATCTTATTCAGCACTATGGCTTTGCGATCTAAAAGGTGTTGGCAGAGCGCCACCGGCAGTGCAGGGAGGGTGAGGGGGAGAGGGTGGTCGTCTGAGTAGAAACAGAAAATAAAGCAGACGCGACAAACACGCACTGCGCAGCAGTTCTCTCCGCAGACGGTGAGCAGTGGAGAGCAGAGCCGAAAAGTCTTTTTTTTTCCACTGCTCAATGCTTGCTCCCGCCGTGGCTTGCTTTGTCTATGCCCCTTCACTCGCTCCCCCGCCTTTCCTTCCCCATTTTTTTCTTTCTTTCTTTTTTTCTTTTTTGCTTGGCATTCTGTTTTTTTGTTTTTTTTTATCACCATGGCTTGGCGCCCCTCACAGGGCCGCGAAGTTAAAGAGCCCTACGCAAAAAGCGTTCTGTCGGCAAGCCAGGTTCTATTGCATTGCAACCAAGCCCCGCTGCTTGCATGGTGGTCATGTCCACCACTAAAAAAATTCTGGGGGAAACCCTGGTATCTGTATATGCAGGTTATTGAGTTGAGTGTTGTGTATTTGTGTACTTACCGTATTTACTCGCATAATGAACGCACTTTTTTTTCTGAAAAATCGATGCAAAGTTAGGGGGGGCGTTCATTACGCGAAGTAAAATTTTTGCGTCCCTATTTACTCCCATAATGAACAGACCTTTTATCCTGAAAAACCAAAGTAACTTCTTATCCCTTTGCGCGCGGTGCCCGACCCGGTAACCAAACTAAGCTGTGCAAAAAAAAAAAAAAAAAAAGCTCCTTTTTTTTTTCTAGTTTTTTGGTTTTTTGGGGGTTTTTTTGCCGCCTTTTGCAAGCTGTCTTGTTTGCTTAGGCGTTGCTGAGGCGAGGGCTCTCCGCTTATCTTTCTTATCTCCTTGCCCCCCCCCCCCCCCGTAACCAAGCTGCGCTGTGCAAAAAAAATAAAGAAGAAAAAAAAGCTCATCTTTTTCTTTTGTTTTTTTCTCAGTTCCTTAATTTTTTTTTTTTTTTTCTCTTTTTGTCGCTTTTTGCAAGCTGTTTCATTTGCTTAGAGGGCTTCTCGGCTCCTCTTTCTTACCTCCTTGCGCGCGGCCCCCCATAACCAAACTGCGCTGTGCAAAAAAAAAAAAAAGAAAAAAAAAAAAAAAGCTCCTCTTTGTTTTTGTTTTTTCTTAGTTCCATGTCTTTTTTTTTTGCCGCCTTTTGCGAGTTGTTTTGTTGGCTCAGAGCGCTTCTCTTTCTTACCTCCTTGTGCTCGGCGGCGCGCGAACCCAAAGTCCAGACTCAACACCTCCTAGAAGACAAGGCCGTAGCGCTCTACTCGTGATGTCGCGAGGGAAGGCCATCAGGGACGGCGAAGCAAAGGCAACGCGCGTGGATGGATCGTCGTAACGTGCTTTTAGTCACATAAGCGTGTCTTATTAGCTAAATTGAAAGCTGCACATAGCAACGGGTCTTGAAAACATTTCATTATACGGGCAAAATATTACACCGCAAAGTGATCGGTATGAAATGGTACGAGGAAGGCGTCTAAGAGAAAACATTGATTTACACAATTATTGCTGCAGGATTGCATACTTTACGCAGAAATACTTTGACAAAATGGCAAGACACGCAGTGATTGGACACAGCAAAACAGGTCACATTGAAAAATCAGGTAGACGTAGTCAACGCGGACACGGCTAGAGGAATGTCACGATCATGTAAGCGATGATATCGCGTGCAGTCACTGAATTCTTGCATCATACCCCGGCCACATGGCAAAAATAATGTAATTTCGATCGAATGAAAATATGGCGCCGACAGATCAGCTTCCGACGCTCATATAATCACTCAAAACAGCCAGCTGATTAAATCCCGTATTATTTGATCAAGATATATTAACTTTTCCGTGTGGCAGGGGTATTAAACTTACTATTTACAGTCAACCAATTTAATTATCTTTATGGGCTCGAGGTGCCTAAGAACAAAATATAACCTATTCTGTATACAATAATACTATTACCTTAATACAGTTAAGATTCTAGTATCAACGCGGTAAAGGCAACAAAATAACATTAGTATAAATAAACACATAAGCACAAACAATGCACTTTCAATAATCAGACAAACTTGTCCTTCCAGTAAAAACTAGAATATAACCACGCATAATTATAAATGTCGACGCAATAGCAAATGGATAATGACGAAGAACACAACTCCATTCTATCACGATATAAAAAAAAAAAATTGTCTGCAGCACTTTACTCGCGTCTTACATGACCAAGAAAGCCCGTAAATAAGTTGTTCCTCACCTGTCGATCGTATCCATACGTCCCACACGATCGATCACGAAAAAATTTTAGTACAAACTTCAAGAAGTCTCTCTGTCGAGAGAGGTCATCGGCCAGTGTCATTGTTGACTAGTTGCCACACACGTCAGTCAAACCGTAGCAGGACTTGTTTCACGAATCCACGTAAATGCCGTAGTATCAAACAAAACACACACACAAAAAAAAAAAAAAAAAATCTCCCCGAGATTGCGGTGACGACAAAAAAACAACGGGTAGGAGGATCAAAAGAATCACACACACACACACGCGCGAGAGCGGCACCAGCAGTTTGGGACGACCCATCTCTTCCTCGTTTGCGCTCCCTCCCAGCGGCGATGAATGGATTTTTTTTCGGTTCCTTTCCCTTCTGAAAGGTCTCAGCGTACCTTTGCATGCAGTCAGCAGCTCACACGCAACGTAAATTTACCAGAATCAGAGCCCGTACGAGGGAAGATGTCGCATCGGAAATTCGGAGCCGGTTCACTCTTCGAAAAGTGTGGGGACCTGCAGGACTGCGCTTAGTCTCGCGGTTACGGGGATAATCAAAAATATAAATTTGGTACTTTCAACCTTAATAACGCGTTGTATATTACGTTTGTATTATATATATCTAATAAATTGTACAAGACTGCGCTTTTAAAATGTGTATTAATGTCGGATAAACGGGCACGAACATTAATGCGCCGATACGCGTCGACAGCGCATTTTCTCACGTAGTTGCGCCATGGCCTTCCTTCCTCCGCCATTGTGACGTGCCCGCTCGGAGCGCTATGGCCTTCTCTTCTAGGAGGTGTTGCCAGACTGCGCCCTGCAAAAAAAAGCTCCTCTCCATGTTCTTTTTTCTTGCTTCCGTTGGATCTTTTTGAATTTTTTTAAGGCGTTTTTTCGCTCGTGCTGCCCATGCATTCGCGACCTCGCTGCGCCAGGATAAAAAAGTGCGTTCATTTCGCGCGCGTGGGGGGAGGGGGTCAAAATTTTGACATCCGAGTTGGGGGTGCGTTTATTATGCGAGTGAAAAAAAAAGTCGAAAATTTGAGAGCCGACTTGGGGGGTGCGTTCATTACGCGAGTGCGTTCATTGTGCGAGTAAATACGGTACATATGCTATTGTATAATATCTACATTAATTGATTTCACTTTGGGAAGCTCGTGTCAAAATATATTAAATTTGTATATATTAAAAACTGTCAAATCTGCGTTTATTCTTCCAGTCCAATACCACATAATCCCCCCCCCCCCCCCCCAGCATGGCCAGTTTTTTCTTCATGGAAAGCTGGCAACCCTAACTGTAGTTGACTAACCAATGTAGCAGCAGCCTCCGTAGCAGCACACTTTTTGGAGCGCAGCTCTTAGGTGCCTGTTTCTGACTTGAGCGGCGGCGGCAGCATAACCGGGCATTTCATTATGGGTAAATTTCCCCGCTAAATTTAGCGGAAAAATGTTTCCGATAAATTTATCAGAAAAAAATCCCCGCTAAATTTAGCGGAAAGCTTTTCTCCGCTAAGTTTAGCGGAAAATTTTTCCCGCTAAATTTAGCGAAAATTTCCCGCTAAATGAGAGGGGAGGGGGAGGAGGGCATACTTTCCCCTCCTGCTCCTCAAGAGCTGCACTCTAATTCGGGATTATGGAGAATTGTAATTGTCTTTTATTATTTATTTAGCAGGAAAGTGGTTCGATGTTACACTCCTGTTATGACCTCGCAAGAGATTGACCGTATCAATGAAGAATAAGATAAAAGAAATACAGTTAATTCGTCCCCTTTAAGGGGCTTTAACGGGTGTGGGGAATTAAAGGGGGCAGAAATATACAAAACAGGTTATCAATTCAATACAGTCGCTCTGCAGCAACATTTCTGTAAACTAAAGTCTGAACAGTTGACGGCATAAGCGGTACCAAGTACACGTGTGCGAGCGTGAGGGGACAGTGCAGATGGGCCCTGGCAACCCTTCCTCTTTTTTGTCCCCCAGCTGATTGAGCGGGTAGTCAGGGAGCACCCCCACCAGACTCTGCCAGTGGTGCTGGCACTCTGCAATGCGGAGAAAGACGCCGAGGCCACGGGGAAGTCTTCCAACATGGCCGCTCCCCGAGCCAAGAAGGCCAAGACGACCGGGGCACCCGCAGAGGTGGGGGCCGCCTCTCTTCTCGTCGGTAACCCATGGTCGCCAGACGTTTGCAGGGAACTGGATTCCCGGGCATCTGTCAGGGCAGAAATAATGGCTGCTTTGTTGCTTGCGGCCCATTCAATGGGGAATGGGTTTTATGCGGCGTTTTCTGCGAGTAAATTGTCACGCACGAGCTTCATGAACAAGTGAGATGCTGAGAGCGTTAGAAACATTAAAATGGAAAAAATATTTCTATGTAAGGGCATAGATTGGGTATACCAATTTTTACTAATTAGATTTACTCATTTTTCCACCAAACAAATTAATTTTTTGGCACAATATTTGCGTTGTTGGATGCAATTTAGGTGGGGAGGGGGGAGGTAGCCCCGCCCAGTATTTAGCTAGCTAAGTACCTTTTCTCCACTCTGATTGGTTGGACAGATTACTAACGTGTGAAATGTTTGTTGTAAAATTTTTTTTTCGTGCTGCAATTGTGTTATTATGTTTGAGAAACAAATAGTCTGGTAGCGGGTCATTATTGCTTTAAAAAATATTCCCTTCGTTTCGGTTTTAAGTGAAGACACTACCCAGGAATATCAACTCTTGAACCGCTCCCTCAATCGGAGCGATATTTGCAGGTGGTTATTTGTACCCCTATAGAAGGAGGGCATGCAAAGTTTGAGCCCTATGAACCAAGTTTATGAGGTTCTATACCCCCAGAACGTAGCTTTGCATGGAATCTGCTCAATGAATCTATCTTTGAGAAATGGCGTTAATAGTCACATATCTTTCTGGTAGAATGCATATTGGAATACCATGTTGCTGGTCACTATAAAAAGAAATTTAACAAAACATGCATTTTTCAGCTAAAAAAATTAATGAATAAAATGTTATCTTTGCATTTATTCGTCACCCGTCAATCGTGACAATGTTGCAATATCGGTCAGTCTACGTTTATTTTCCTCGCACTTACCAACAGCTTGGAGGCCTTCACAGTGAAGTGCACAAACATACAATTCAGTGAACACAATGCATCAATTCTGGTTTCTGAAGGCACAGATCGGTGCAGAAATCATCAATGTTGGTGAACTGCGTGTCAAAATTATCTCGGATTCGCAAAATTGGTGACAAGTTGCGACGAAGATCTGGATTGGCACTTGTAAAATCTGCATTAGCTCAAATGCTTAATGGAAGAGAGGATCGTAGGACCGTCTATTGAACCCCAAATTAACGCGCGCAAAAATGTATCCTCCCGGAGAGACCTCCCTTTGTTTAAAGTATGCAATTTCTATCCGGCTAAAATGTCCTCTTTGCCCCGAACGACATAAACGAGGGCTTCTTGTTCCCCGGCAGGACCGCGTGGAGGGAGCGCGCTTGCTGGTGTCGCGCCTGCGCCAAGCGGGGGGCACGGTGGCCAGCACCCTGCCCCAGCTGGAGCGGCTGATGGACGCCTACATCCAGCTGGCCTACCTCGACCCTCCGCAGACGGGGGCCAACGGTCAGTGGGGCTCGAGGGGATGGCCGTCACGGGGAAACCGAGACCGTCGAAGCGGTTGCCAAGGCGCTTCCGTGTCTTCTGTAGTCGTCGACAAAGTGAAATGGCGTGGAGGAGCTTGGGTTGTCCTGCCTCCAGCACGATTGGCTTTCGGACGACACTTTGCCGTCTCATGCTCCTCGAGCCCGTTTAGCCAAAGTACGCCGGAAGTGGTGGAGTATGCACCGAAAGCCCTTGCAAAGACGCCATTTCCACCTTGCGAGTGACTACAGCAAACATGGGGCTAGCTCATTTCTTCCGTTCCCGTACACATGGGTCACGTGGATTTTGGAGTTCGTACGAGGGGCGTAATATGATTTACGCTTAATTTTTTTTTTTCTGGAGACACCAGCCACTCGGAGGTTGCGGTAGATGCGTTCTCCTCAATATACTCCTCCCGAGGCCATACGTATTTTCCCTTCCTTCGTGGCAGCTTTCTCGCACCCTGCCAGAACCACTTTTTAAAAGTGTGCCGCCTCCGCACCGGGACAGTAGCTTCCAGCTCATCAGTGTGTCCCAAATGGCATCCTCGCGGGGGTTTTAACGCAAAATGCGTTCTATTAACCGAATTATACTGTCAAACCTCATTATACTGAGCACGGATATATAGAATTATTGCTTATATCGAATCGTTGTTGAACTGTCATAAGAATTCCGTGCATTTTTAAATTTTTTTATGGCAAACTCGTTCGGTTAAAAAACGAATATATTGAACTCCGCAGCACCCCAAAGCGTGTGCTCCGAAGACAAGCAGCAGGCTTTTCCGCAGCACATCAAGGGATACGGCGGGCTTTCCCGCAACATATTGGAGGATAGCGGTGGCGCACCAGGCGTTTGCGACTTCTAGAAGCGCATGCCTTCTTGAAGCTTTATGCCCCTGGTGCCTGGAGCGCCATCCAGACTCGACGGCACACGGGCTCAGTCAGGTCAGTGGCTCAGTCGTATCGTATCACCAACATCTCCTATATCGGTTTTTTCATGCGCTTGTTGCGTAGCTCCTGCAGTTTCGTTCTTCCGACGTTGCGTCAACAACGTGAGGCATTCTGATGCTATCAAACACAAAGAAACGTATGTCGTTGACGTTTGCGACAAAGCTTGAAATCATCCGCCACATTGAAAAAGGGGAAAAGAAGTGCGGCGTTGCCGAAGTGTACAACATACCGCGAAGCACTTTGAGCACGCTGCTGAAGATGAAAGGTGACATCAAATCGAAAGGTGAACACAGCAAGCACTCCGACGCATGCCGTGTTCGGACACCGGCTTTCGAAAAGGTGGAAAGATCACTTCACAAGTGGTTTATGAACGCAAGGGCTCGGAACATTCCAGTGTCGGGGCCGATGCTTCAACAGAAAGCAAAGGACTTTGCGTTCATCCACAAAGCACAAAACTTTGCCGCAAGTAGCGGGTGGCTTCAACGTTTCAAAGCCCGTTACGACATTGTTGGGAAGACGGTCTCGGGAAAAAGCGAGGACGCCAATATGGAGAGCATATAGAAGTGGCTCGAACAAGAGTGGCCCAGTGTTCTCGCAAACTATCAGCCAAAGCAAATTTTCAATGCTGATGAGACAGGCTTCTTCTGGCAGATGCTTCCGCGACAAACGCTTGACACCCGCGGGGAGAGGTGCCATGGTGGTAAGCAAAGCGAAAGACGCATCATGCACGGTTCTCTTGGCTGCAGATATAGATGGCAGCACTAAACTTCGACCCCTTGTCATCGGCAAGCTTCAAACCCCGCACTGCATGCGCAACCGCCGGGATATTCCTGTGACATACACCTTGAACAAGAAGTCACGAATGACGCGCGATATCTTTGAAAAATGGCTGAAGGACTGGGACACAAAGCTTGCAAACCAGGGTCGCAAGGCGTGCCTCCTTGTCGACAATTGCTGGGCACACCACACGAACGTGCAGCTCAAGAACATAGAGCTCAAGTTTCTGCCGCCGAACACTACGTCAAAACTACAGCCGTTGGATCAGGGTATAATCCGGATGTTCAAGGCTATTTATAAGTGCAGGCTTATCGAAACTTTGCTCCTCAAGCTGAAAATGAGCCAAGACCTCAAGATCGACCTTTTAGGTGCCAACCAAATACTTAAAGCTGCATGGGAGAAGGTGAAGCAAGAGACGATAGCCAACTGCCTTCGTCACGCTGGGTTTGTCGTCGGTGCCGAGGAACCGTCCGAGGAAGATGGAGCGTTTGGCGATTTTGAAGAACCTGCTCTCAACAAAACATGGAGCGAATTTTCACGTTTTGTGGATGCTGTACCCGACAGCATGACCATCAACGATTTTGTCAGGGATGATGAAGAAGCGGGGACCACGGCTGAACTAGCCGACGTGGAAGTCTTTGTGGAGGTCACCCGCGAGCTGGCTCCAGAAGAGATGGCTACCGAACCTGGCCCTTCAAACGCCAAGGACCTTGCTCCGCTCCCGACTTTGGGCACAGCTGTGGCCGCTTTGACACTTTTACGCCGCTACTGCGGCGCAATCGACGGTAGTGGTCTGGCGCTGGTGGACTGTTTAGAGACCGTAGAGCGGGCGGTAGTAAGGCATGCAGTCAACTCCAAGAAGCAGTCTACGCTGCGGCAGTTCTTTTCGCCGGAATAGTTCATATTAACGCTTCACTTGAGTAGTAATTTTTGCCGCTAGCTTTCTAGTGATTAAATCGCTCTGCACTTTCACGCATTTTTGGTGTGATTTTGTATATTGGATTTTGGTTATATTGAATTATTTCACGGTCCTTGCACTGTTTGATATACCGAGGCCCTACTGTATGAGAGAACTGTCTCGGAGAACCGTCACGAAGAGCCAAAGAGATGTTTGGCATCAGGTTGCACGGAGGTGTCGTGTGATGCCACGACTTCGTGACATTATGTGACAGTGTGGCATCACGTGACGGTAACTTTAGTTCAGGGGTTCTCAAACTGGGTTCCCTGAACATAGGGGTTCCACAAGCTGGCCTCATGGGCTGTGCGAGCACCCCAATTGCAGTGTCCCCCCTTAGTTTAACCTTTCCTCGGACTGAGAATGAGTTGGTGTTGCAGAAAAAGCAACCGCACTCTTCGCACTAATATGTGTATATATACCGTAATATCCCGAGTCATCGCCCACCCCCCTACCACCTGAAATTCATTAAAAAAGTGGGGTGGGCCATGTCTCGGTGGGTGAGCCCAAACACTTGAAAAAAAGCGGAAAAAACCGCCTATTTTTTTCTGCGTATCTAGCGCTGGTACACAAGAGAAACATCAAACTTACAACTCGATTTAGTTTCATTGTTTTATAGAAAAAAATGCTCACGAAAGAATATTTTACTATAGCGAAGTCCGTTGCTTGCACACGCGCTAGAAACACCGCCGATCTGCATATAGCGCGAACGTTTGTTCCGTGAAAGAATGTCACCACTATGTTCTCCTAGTTAGTAAAAAAAAAAAAAGAAAGAAAAGTCTACAAGAAAATAAAAAAAGCTACCAGGCGCAACGAACGAGCGAGCGGACCAAAGAAGCGACCAAGAGCAATGCTGGGAAAGCGGGAAAGCCGGCGGTCGCGTTGGCAAATACTTTGGCGTCGTGCCAAGTCGGGTGCCTTGTCAATTGCAAGCTCTTGCGCAACTTTCTTGTTTGGTGCGTACATACGTGCGTCCGTGCACACGGCGGGCTGTCAATGCACGGTTGGGACGCTCTGCAAACGTCTGTGTAGGGCGTTCCAGCAAAGCTTTATTTACGCGTTGGCTTTGCCTAAAATATTGCACAACCGCAGTTGCGACGGGCGGGAAGAAGGAGCGGGTTCACGGTGACCTTACTTCGGCGTAAGACTTTGACCTAACACTCCGCGGTTACATTAACAAACTCTTATTTTGTTATCTCCATCGTTTTCTTTTCGCACGGATACACGACCACTTTGGGTTCGCTCACGGAGGTAAACAAAAAGAAGTGTCTTTCCCTCCTTTGTTTTACTTTGTCACGGACGTCCTCGAACTGTAAGATCCGCGGCCGCGTCATTCGGGTAGGATGAGTGTTCGCGGGTCACAGAGTCCGCGCTGGGGTTTTTGAAGGGGTGGGAGATGACTCGGTGTTTTTTCGGAAATCGATATTGGCCCATAAAATGGGGTGGGCGATGGCTCGGGGATGGGCGATGACTCGGGATATTACGGTATGTAAATATATTTTACATTGTGCCCAAGGTTAACCCCTCTGCCTTCTTATTCTGTCTGTAGTCCTCCATTTCGTCTTATTCTGTCAGTGCAATTAACTCTTGTTCACTCTCTAAACGCCTTAATTGCCCAGTGTTATCGGTTGGCAACAAGACAGAGGGGGGGCGGGAGGGTTCCTTGAGATTTTTTGAAGCTTGCTGGGGTTCCCTGGGACGAAAAAGTTTGAGAACCCCTGCAGTTTAGTTGAACTGGGACGAAGAGAAGCTGAAGAAACATACTTCACATTTTTCTCAGTGAAAATGTCTTTATTCCTGGGAGGCATGCTCTAGAGTACTTACTCGCATAATGAACACACTTTGCGCAAATGTCATTTTAGGTGCCAATATGACGTGGCAGGGTGCTGTGGCACGTCTCCACTCACGGAGGTGCGTCCATGGATAGTTGTGGGCGCGCCACAGTAATCGTGCTCTACATGTTGGGCTTTTTAGGGGCGAAGCTCCTTAGGGTCTCGCCTTGTCCGCTGTCCGTGCTCACATCAATTGCACTGCCCCTGGGATCGGCCCTCTTCTAAAAAAAAAAACGTACGCCCGCACAGGGGTTTGCACTCAGGACCACTTGCTTACGAGGCAGACGTCTTAACCTCTACGCTGCACTGCAACATTGCATGTAGCCGCTCAACGTCTATACAGGTGGGGGCGCTTCAGTCAAATGCGTATATAATCGCGTTAAACTTTGCATGCATTGGCTCATCGTTTATAGATGAGAGGGTGCTGCGGTCGGATGCTCAAATGCGTATATAACCACGTTCCATACC